ATTGGCTTGATGGGCACTTCTTACGTACCATACGGTCAAGCTGCTCCCACAACAGCTCAATGGGGTTGAGATCCGGTGACTGTGCTGGCCACTCCATTATAGACAGAATACCAGCTGACTTCCCTAAATAGTTATTGCATAGTTTGGAGCTGTGCTTTGGGTCATTGTCCTGTTGTAGGAGGAAATTGGCTCCAATCAAGCGCTGTCCACAGGGTATGGCATGGCGTTGCAAAATGGAGTGATAGCCTTCCTTCTTCAAGATCCCTTTTACCCTGTACACATCTCCCACTTTAACACCACCAAAGCACCCCCAGACCATCACATTGCCTCCACCATGCTTGACAGATGGCATCAAGCACTCCTCCAGCATCTTTTCATTTGGTCTGCGTCTCACAAATGTTCTTCTTTGTGATCCGAACACCTCAAACTTCGATTCGTCTGTCCATAACACTTTTTTCCAATCTTACAAAAATGTATGCACGCATGACTGTAAGTCGCTTTCGATAAAAGCGTCTGCTAAATGGCATATTATATTATTATATTATATTATTATTATATATTATTCCTCTGTCCAGTGTCTGTGTTCTTTTGCCCATCTTAATCTTTTATTTTTATTGGCCAGTCTGAGATATGGCTTTTTCTTTGCAACTCTGACTAGAAGGTCAACATCCCGGAGTCGCCTCTTCACTGTTGACGTTGAGACTGGTGCTTTGCGGGTACTATTTAATGAAGCTGCCAGTTGAGGACCTGTGAGGCGTCTGTTTCTCAAACTAGACACTCTAATGTATTTGTCCTCTTGCTCAGTTGTGCACTGCGGCCTCCTACTCCTCTTTCTATTCTGGTTAGAGCCAGTTTGCGCTGTTCTGTGAAGGGAGTAGTACACAGCGTTGTACGAAATCTTCAGTTTCTTGGCAATTTCTCGCATGGAATAGCCTTCATTTCTCAGAATAAGAATAGACTGACGAGTTTCAGAAGAAAGTTCTTTGTTTCTGGCCATTTTGATCATATAATCGAACCCACAATTGCTGATGTTACAGATACTCAACTAGTCTCAAGAAGGACAGTTTTATTGCTTCTTTAATCAGCACAACAGTTTTCAGCTGTGCTAATAACATAATTGCAAAAGGGTTTTCTAATGATCCATTAGCCTTTTAAAATGATAAACTTGGATTAGCAAACACAACGTGCCATTGGAACACAGGACTGATGGTTGCTGATAATGGGCCTCTGTACGCCTATGTAGATATTCCATAAAAAAATCAGCCGTTTCCAGCTACAATAGCCATTTACAACATTAACAATGGCTACACTCTATTTCTGATCAATTTGATGTTATTTTAATGGACAAAGAAAATGCTTTTCTTTCAAAAACAAGGACATTTCTAAGTGACCCCAAACTTTTGAACGGTAGTGTATGTTTGTCAGGATTTATCAGGCCATCAATGGTCGAGAAGAGCACTCTCAAATTATTCAGATTATTAGTGATCAAGTTAGAAAAATGAGCCCGTCTGGCATTTTTAATTGTCTTGTTATATATGACAAGTTGCTCTCTCAGAATATCATAATGGACCTGCAACTTTCTCCACTTCCGCTCTGCCTTTCTGCAATTTATTTTTTAAATTTTAGTCATTTTAGCAGACGCTCTTATCCAGAGCGACTTACAGTTAGTGCATACATAATTTTTTTTCATACCCCCTGTGGGAATCGAACCCACAACCCTGACGTTGCAAACGCCATGCTCTATCAACTGAGCTACATCCCTGCCGGCCATTCCCTCCCCTACCCTGGACGACGCTGGGCCAATTGCACGCCGCCCCATGGGTCTCCCGGTCGCGGCCGGCTACGACAGAGCCTGGATTCGAACCAGGATCTCTAGTGGCACAGCTAGCACTGCGATGCAGTGCCTTAGACCACTGCGCCAATTTATCTTTAATGAATTAGTTTCCTCATCCATCCAAGGGGTTCAACTTTACTGGAGCTACCCCCTGTGGTCCTCTGTAGCTCAGCTGGTAGAGTATGGCGCTTGTAACGCCAGGGTAGTGGGTTCGATCGCCGGGACCAGCCATACGTAAAAATGTATGCGCACATGACTGTAAGTCGCTTTGGATAAAAGCGTCTGCTAAATGGCATATTATTATATTATTATTATTATTGCATCAATAGTTGCCCTTAACTTGCTATTAAAGTTATCAACTAAATCATCATAAGAGGAAGGAAGAATAGGTGATGGTGTATTGTTCATACACACTTAATAATGCGTTCAGTATTACCCTGTGCTATGGGCAACAAGGTAATCAAAAATACACAGTGGTGATCAGATAAAGCAACATCAACAATAGAGGATATGTCAATAGAAAGCCCCTTGGTAATAACCAGGTCCAGAGTATGGCCACTGTTATGGGTGGGCCCAGTAACATGGTCCCGTGTAGCTCAGTTGGTAGAGCATGGCGTTTGCAACGTCAGGGTTGTGGGTTCGATTCCCACGGGGGGCCAGTATGAAAACATTTATGCACTCACTAACTGTAAGTCGCTCTGGATAAGAGCGTCTGCTAAAATGTAAAATGTGATGAAGTCCATAGAGCTCAAAAGATTAATAAATTCAGTGGCCTTGGAGTCAGTCTCTTTGCCAACATGAATATTAAAATCGCCCAACACAATGATTTTATCATAGTTCTCAAGGACAATAGACAATAGTTCAGATAAATCAGTAAAGAAAGTGGGGCAGTGCTTTGGTGTCCTATACAGGGTTATGGCCAGCACTGGTGGCTGACATTTAATCAGTGTAGCATGATGCTTAAAAACCCAAAGTCGCCAAACTACAGCTGAGAGCATTAGTAAAAATAGAGGCTGTCCCCCCAACCTTTCCCCTTTTCTGATAGAGTATGAAAAGCTGTAGTCCGGGGGGGGGGGGATGCTTCAATAAGAGCGGCACTACAGTCTGAAGACAGCCATGTTTCAGTGAGAAACACGCAACAAACGTCGCGCCCAGTAGCATTACATGGCGTGGTTTTTCACAGGTAAAGAGGAGAGAGATGGAGGTGGCCTTGGTGTCAGTCACCTCCATCTCACTTCTCTTTACCTGTGAGGAACCACGCCATGTTCAGAATCCCACTTCCTCCTCCACACACAAACAACTTCTCAAACCCGCCATGTTTTTTTGTTTTTTTTTTGCAGACTTTTGGGATAGCTTGGAACAAGGTATTGTATTTGGCCAAGTGGCGGTCTGATTTGTACTTTAGTTCACCAGGCCTCAAACAGAGCTTGTGTTGAAGAGGCATCCTTAGTATTGTGACGTGTGCGCTCAATGTCTTAGTGGTAGTTGGTGTTCTAGAGTTACAGTAGTGTAATGCTAACACTCATTCGCTAGCATCCCCATTGGTCCCTCATATTGGGATATTCAGCTAGTGCACTCTTTCCACCCCTTCCTAACAGTCCCCATTGCATTGTTTTTTCTCTTGTACTTTGTTCAACGTAAGACTAACGTGTCAGTTTGGTCTATCTATGTCTGTTTGTGAGTGTCTACCTGTTAGCTTGTCTCTCTGTCTAGCTATGTATAGTTGTTAACACTAGCTGTAAACACACAGTTAGCTAGCAGTGTCCATTAGCATTTCTACTCCATGTTAAGTAGGCTCAGTGGAGACCGGTAGGCTGCTATTTCTGCTGCAGCATTCTGCTCCCTCCATAGGAATATTAATGGTCTTGGCCTTTTAGCTACGTCTGCACAGCAGTAGGTAGAATACTTATAGATGGGTTGTACCTGTGGAGCTGCGTGCTCATCCCTTTTGGGATGCTAATGACTGTGCTGCTCCACATCAGGACGGCAGCCATGTTGTTAGGCCGGCTTAAAGTAAAAGGTTAATACGCATTAATTAGATTTGTAAATCTTGAGGGTTCCTCATTTTGACGAAAGTCTCTGATTATTAAATACAGTTTATAGATTCACATTTATCTTCTCTCAGAGAAGTCTGCTCTTTTGACCTTGGAGATGGTAATTCACTAAACACCATTGGCGAGTTTTGTTGATTTACAGTCTAGTACCTCCCACTGCCTGGTCCCAACATTACATTTTAGTCATTTAGCAGACACTCTTATCCAGAGCGACTTACAGTTAGTGAGTGCATACATTATTTTTTTATACTGGCCCCCCGTGGGAATTGAACCCACAACCCTGGCGTTGCAAACGCCATGCTCTACCAACTGAGCTACATCCCTGCCGGCCATTCCCTCCCCTACCCTGTGCGCCGCCCCATGGGTCTCCCGGTCGCGACAGAGCCTGGATTCGAACCAGGACCTCTAGTGGCACAGCTAGCACTGCGATGCAGTGCCTTAGACCACTGCGCCACTCGGGAGAGTATCCTGTACAGACCTACCCTACACCACTGAGACAGATGTCCCAGCAACATTCGTTATGTCCTCTTCATTCACCTAGCCTGGGAGAATATTACATATGCTGAGGGTGTATTACATTGACTGTATTACATTGACTACAGTGATATACTGTAAAGCATCTCTCCTGTTGATCTCACTCCCTGTGTCTTGTAATCTCATCAGCTTCCCCTAATCAAATTCTCTCTTGAGGCAGCATTACACCCCAGCCAGCCTCCAGAGGCAAATCAACCACCGCAAATTAATCGGCTGTGAACTTGTGTACTTTCTTTTATTGAATACCCTTTGCTGTGAATGGATATTGAGGAAAACAATTTACCGCACGCCAAAACCCTCCGTTGTGATGCTAGGGTATATACTGTAGCTGTATGAAATCCACATGCACAAGAAGAGCATTGTTATCATGAAATGCAATCCCCCCTGCCACGTAATCAATAGTGTTTTTTTTTATAGCGCTTGTTGTGTGCTGCAACCTGCAACGGCAGACAGAGACTAAATATATAATGTTGGTGAGCTGGTACAACTAAATCACTATTACTGACCTCTCCTCTGGTCCCTGTCCTCCCCTCCTCTCTTTTCCTCCCTCCCTCCCTCCCCCCCTCTCTCTCTCAGATGGGTGCCCGGGTCTGTGTAACAGGAATGGCCAATGCAGCCTGGGACAGAACAGCTGGCACTGTGAATGCCACACTGGCTGGAGAGGACCTGGCTGCAGTGTTGCCATGGAGATCTCCTGTGCCGACAACAAGGACAACGAAGGAGGTGAGTGGTGAAGGGTCACAGGAGGCAGGCTGAGGAAAGGCTGTAGATTTGCCTATGGGGGGGAAAAAAAATGAAGGTATGACATTGTCATGCATTAGTCATGGTTTGATTTGGAATCAACAGTGGTGCACTTACAGTATTTGTGCAACTGTACTGCTGATGAGGGGGAAATATCTCTTTATTTCCTGTAAATATCCTCTTGTAAGGCACAGCAGCGTCTCTCAGGTATGGCAATTGACAAGCTATTTGATTCTCCCGGATGAGCAGTAGTCAGCCAGACAGCCAGACGCCTGCCTGGGTTTCTCTATGAGGTTTCCTCCCAGTGAGTGTTGTTAGAGGATCAAAGAGGTGTGATTGTGGGGCTAGTGTTATCAGGCCTGAATGTCCCAATTATGGAATCCTTCTGTCTGTGTGAGCTAGCACTGAGCGGGCTGGGGAGAGAGGAGAGGAGAGGCTGGCTGAATCAATGCCGCCTCCACCTCCTCCTCCCAAGAGTGCATGGGGATCAGTGACCTGGAGTTTGCTGAGATGGATGCCCATATTATCTACCCCTCCCTCCCTTGTGGAAGATGAAGTGACCCCCCCCCCACCCCCCCTCCTGTGACCATTTGTGAGAGGATCAAAGACGCCTCGGAGATGGATGCTTTTCACAGGGCAAGCAGCAGCTCCGCTCCAAGCAGCCAGCCAGCCCAAGTCAGTCTGTCTGGGCAGGGTTATCTAACATGAAAATGATACCCAGGTCTATTTCTCCTTAGCTTAGCGGCTAAGTAGTGTGCCAAGGCCAGAGCTATGTCGATCTTAAAGAGTGTTTTCTCTGTGGTATGTCAGGCAATTGAGTCCAGATGCTTTTCTTACATCTTACCTTTCATCTCCCCCATCTGAGCAATAGGATAATATGATCAGAGCACAATAAGGGGTTTAAACAGCATTTCCATTTCAATGTGATGCCTGGCAGGCTGGATGTTGTGGTTAATCCAAAAATCTTCCTTCTTCAATGGAGATGTTGTCATAGTTCCTACTCTCGTCCTTAATCTGTCTGTCTGTGTTTATCAGTCTCCCTCCCTCTCTGTCTCTCCCCCTCTGTTTGTCTCTGTGTTCATTATTTCACCGAATAAAAGCTGAAAGATCAGACAGGAAAAAGTCTGTTTGCATAGTTGACGGTGTTTGTTTTGACAGTTCTGAAGAAACGCGCTTGCTTGTGTTAGCGTGTAGAAAGAGAGCGAGAGATGAAAAACGATACGCCCTTTAGGGTTGTGAGTGAAGTCCTGTTTGACTTTGATGTCAGTGTCGTTGGTTTTGATTAAAAGTAGGACAGGCAGGCACTGTGCTGGGGAGCAGGTTGCGGATCACAACTTCTAAAGGAGAACCTTCGAGAAAAAATAACATCATTAGGAATGAGAAAAAATAGCACACCCATCCTAATGAAAATATAACATTAGATGAAGAGAAATAAATGAACTGTCTCATAAAAGAATCATGAAAAGAATGGAAAGGGAATATATATTTGAATCATGTATATGTTGTGGTTCATGTGGACACAGTGTACAGTCGTGATCAAATATTTTGAGAATGACACAAATACTAATACTAAGTCTGCTGCCTCTGTTTTGATGATGGCAATTTGCATATACTCCAGAATGTCATGAAGAGTGATCAGATGAATTGCAATTAATTGCAAAGTCCCTCTTTGCCATGAAAATGAACTTAATCCCAAAAAAAAAATTTCCACTGCATTTCAGCCCTGCCACAAAAGAACCAGCTGACATCATGTCAGTGATTCTCTCGTTAACACAGGTGAGAGTGTTGACGAGGACAAGGCTGGAGATCACTCTGTCATGCTGATTGAGTTAGAATAACAGACTGGACGCTTTAAAAGTAGGGTGGTGCTTGAAATCATTTATCTTTATCTATTAACCATGGTTACCTGCAAGGAAACACATGCCGTCATCATTGCTTTGCACAAAAAGGGCTTCACAGGCAAGGATATTGCTGCTAGTAAGATTGCACCTAAATCAACCATTTATCGGATCATCAAGAACATCATGGAGAGAGGTTCAATTGTTCTGAAGAAGGCATCAGGGGCGCCCAAGAAAGTCCAGCAAGCGCCAGGACCGTCTCCTAAAGTTGATTCAGCTGCGGGATCGGGCCACCACCAGTGCAGAGCTTGCTCAGGAATGGCAGCAGGCAGGTGTGAGTGCATCTGCACGCACAGTGAGGCAAATACTTTTGGAGGATGGCCTGGTGTCAAGAAGGGCAGCAAAGAAGCCACTTCTCTCCAGGAAAAACATCAGGGACAGACTGATATTCTGTAAAAGGTACAGGGATTGAACTCTTTAGGACTGGGGTAAAGTCATTTTCTCTGATGAATCCCCTTTCCGATTGTTTGGGGCATCCGGAAAACACCTTCTCCGGAGAAGACAAGGTGAGCGCTACCATCAGTCCTGTGTCATGCCAACAGTAAAGCATCCTGAGATAATTCATGTGTGGGGTTGCTTCTCAGCCAAGGGAGTGGGCTCACTCACAATTTTGCCTAAGAACACAGCCATGAATAAAGAATGGTACCAACACATCCTGCGAGAGCAACTTCTCCCAACCATCCAAGAACAGTTTGGTGACGACCAATGCCTTTTCCAGCATGATGGAGCACATTGCCTTAAGGCAAAAGTGATAACTAAGTGGCTTGGGGAACAAAACATCAACATTTTTGGGTCCATGGCCAGGAAACTCCCCAGACCTTAATCCCGTTGAGAATTTGTGGTCGATCCTCAAGAGGCGGGTGGACAAACAAAAACCCACAAATTCTGACAAACTCCAAGCATTGATTATGCAAGAATGGGCTGCCATCAGTCAGGATGTGGCCCAGAAGTTAATTGACAGCATGCCAGGGCGGATTGCAGAGGTCTTGAAAAAGAAGGGTCAACACTGCAAATATTGACTCTTTGCATAAACTTAATGTAATTGTCAATAAAAGCCTTTGACACTTATGGAATGCTTGTAATTATACTTCAGCATACCATAGTAACATCCGACAAAAATATCTCATAACACTGAAGCAGCGAACTTTGTGAAGACCAATACTGTAGAGGGCATACAGATGCTAAACCTGCATGCAATGTTTTTAAATGTTCTTTGTTGCACTGTTGTCTCAGCTCTGCCCCTGCTTGAGCAATACTCTTGTTCTATTCTGCCCAACAACAAAAGGAAAAATGCCAAATCAAAAAAATGCCATTGAATCATTATTTAGTTTGCAGCGGTGTCTGTCTGTCCAGATTATTTTATTATGTGCTTCCCCTTGCAGACGGACTGACAGACTGCATGGATCCCGACTGCTGCACTCAGAGTCTGTGCCTGACCAATCCACTGTGCCTGGGAGCAAGGGATCCACTGCAGATCATCCAGCAGAGCCAATCACCTTCGCTGAAAGTCAGGTCATTCTACGACAGAGTCAAGCTGCTGGTGGGGAGGGATGGTACCCACATCATTCCTGGAAACAACCCCTTCAACTCAAGGTAGTGTACCCATCTATCAATTCCAGTTACTTCAGGATAGAATCAACTGGTTGTACAGTAAACATCAGCATATATTGTGTCAGAATATTCTAAAGTAATTACCACTGACTTTGACAGTCATACAGTGCATTCGGAAAGTATTCAGACCAGTGGCAGCTCCTGAAAAAATTCTCAGGGGGGGCAATTTTTCTGATGATTTAGGTGACCTACACACATTTTAAAAAAGATATGTCCAGCAACAACATGAAGACAGGGGCAGCATATAAGTCAATACCAGAAGCATTTATTGACTGATCTCAAAAGTGTTGGCTTACCAGGGTTGGTGGAGCCCTCAGTTTCATCTTTGCCTCGCAAAGCTAACTCAAACACTCCGCAAAACTTCACACACTGGATTAGCCGGCTGAGGATGTGGCGGTTCTTGCTAATGTCGTAGTAAATATATTTGTTATAGTGAATATGGAATATGATATGTTGAGTAAAATGTTGTGCTAAGATCTATTTAGGTCAGGAGCTGGTTATAAGTTCTGTTCCTATCCAATAACAATGGACAAAAGGGTCCTATCTTGTCAGCCTTGTCAGCAGGTGGCCAAGGACAACACCCACGCCATAGGCCTCTCAGTTCTTCCAACTCACGAGTTCTTGCTCTGAGGACACACACACACACACACACAAACACACACACACACACATCATCACTGTTAAACACACACACACACACACACACACACACACATCATCACTGTTAAACACACACACACACACACACAAAAATCCCCTCTCTTAGGCTGAACATTTGAAGACAGAGAACCCGACTCAGAGCCAATGCAACAGTGACAGTAGCCTGGAGGGGACCTCGCCCAACTCATCAGGACCAATCAGAAGATCAGAACTACTAGATTCAACCTACTTCATTTATTGCATAAAATGTCTGCACACAATGTTTCGGGGCTCTCTTCAGATAATAATAATAATAATAATATTATGCCATTTAGCAGACGCTTTTATCCAAAGCGACTTACAGTCATGCGTGCATACATTTTTGTGTATGGGTGATCCCGGGGATCGAACCCACTACCTTGGCGTTACAAGCGCAGTGCTCTACCAGCTGAGCTACAGAAAGTGGATACTCATGGATGCGCATCGCAATTGTAAAATGTCAACACAATTGGAGACACCACGTCATTTTTGGAGACATGTTATTGACAGTAAACTATTGTAGATGCGACTGCTAACTAAATAAAACATTTTAGCTGGCTAGCTAATCATCTTAGCTAAATGTGGGGCAAACAATTCAGTTATTTACCGTTAATTTGAGGGATTGGGGTGAAAGAAATCGAGTTACATAGTGATACTTTACGATATACTGTATTGACAATATCGCAATATTTTAGCGCTAGTTGGCTGTACCTGCACCAAAACACCATTATTGTTCCTTCATAGCTTGTTCTCAATCTTTTCACATTGGGAGCCAATTTGTTTTCAGCACTTTTATTTCCATGACTGATCAAAACTCGTTCTCATGGCTTTCTGATCCCTCTGCAACAGACATATGGTGCGCAATAAAATCACAGTATCGAATCGCAATACGTATAGAATCATGAGACTCGCAATGCATATATCTTATCGTGAGGTCCCTGGCAATTCCCAGCCCAAGTTCATTTGCCACAACAAATCTCTTCGCTAGCAAACGCGATGTCTTCTCCAAAACGGCAATGTGTCTCCAGCAATGTTTACTTTTTTGACGTTCTATGGCATCTCCACTTTCCAAGCATATATGACCACATGTAATATGTTGGTAAGTGATGCAAATAGTGAACTATGTAGGGCCAGGATGTAAAATATATGTAGCTGCAGCAATTTCTCTTATCTGATATGGTAAGTAATGGGGCTTAATGTATAGCTCCCTGAGAGTTTGACGAACGGGTCCGTGCACGCGATTCCAGATATCTTTACCTCTGAATAAACTGCCTTTATTATACCATATCCACCCTGTCCAAAGTCTCTACTTGGTCTCAGTTCTCCAGTAAACTTGTGATTATCAACACTAACCTCATCGTTGTGGCGGCGGACAGCTAGCCTGTATCCCTCATCCAGTTGAGTGGCAATGTCTTTTTTCGTTCGTACCAATTTTTGGAAAATCCTCGGGTGTAGGACTTTCCGCCTTTAGTAGAAACCTGTTGAATTATTAAATTTGGTCTGGGAGGTCCTAATTGTTTCGTTGCCAATTTATCTTCATTTGTTCGCCGACAAAAAGGAACTTCTTTCAAAGACACAATCCGCTCTTTTCTTAGTTACGTTCATGGTTACGTTACGTATGACGAAAGCGCGTAAGTGCAAGCCCTCAGACACCCATAGAGATTGTATTGAAAGCTCTGAAATTTGAAAAAAATAGATTTTACATGGGAGTCTATGACAGACTTCTGGGCGATTTTCAACCTGACTGAAATCGCCCCAAAAGGGGGGGGAGCCATTTGAAGCACGACTTTAGCCTGATTCGACATTTAGTGGCAGTGTGGCACTGTGGCAGATCAGACGTATAGATTACAACACTGATAACTACTGTTGCCGTGATATAATTGATTAGAAAAAAAATCCCTTCCTTTTCCCGTTTGGCAGTGCGTCGCCCATATCGCCCTATTGAACAGGCCGCCCCTGATTCAGACCCCTTGACTTTTTCCACATTTTGTTACGTTACAGCCTTATTCTAACATTGATTAAATTAATGTATTCCCTCATCAATCTACACACAATACCCCATAATGACAAAGCTAAAACAGGTTTATAGAAATGTTTGCAAATGTATTAAAAATAAAAAATGCCCTTTGCTATTAGACTCGAAATTGAGCTCAGGTGCATCCTATTTCCATTTATCATCCTTGAGATGTTTCTACAACGTGATTGGAGTCCACCTGTGGTAAATCCAATTGATTGGACATGATTTGGAAAGACACACACCTGTCTATATAAGGTCCCACAGTTGACATTGCATGACAGAGCAAAAACCAAACTATGAGGTCAATGGAATTGTCCGTAGAGCTCCGAGACAGGATTGTGTTGAGGCACAGATCTGGGGAAGGGTACCAAAAAATGTCTGCAGCATTGAAGGTCCCCAAGAACACAGTGACCTCCATCATTGTTTAATGGAAGAAGTTTGGAACCACCAAGACTCTTCCTAGAGCTGGCCGCCCGGCCAAACTGAGCAATCGGGGGAGAAGGGCCTTGGTCAGGGAGGTGACCAAGAACCCGATGGTCACTCTGACAGAGCTCTAGAGTTCCTCTGTGGAGATGGGAGAACCTTCCAGAAGGACAACCATCTCTGCAGCACTCCACCAATCAGGCCTTTATGGTAGAGTGGCCAGACGGAAGCCACTCCTCAGTAAAAGGCACATGACAGCCCACTTGGAGTTTGCCAAAAGGCACCTAAAGGATTCTCAGACCATGAGAAACAAGATTCTCTGGTGATGAAACCAAGATTGAACTCTTTAGCCTGAATGCAAAGCGTCACGTCCGGAGTAAACCTGGCACCATCCCTATGGTGAAGCATGGTGGTGGCAGTATCATGATGTGGGGATATTTTTCAGCGACAGGGACAGGGAGAGTAGTCACCTTCCAACAGGACAATGCCAGTAAGGACACAGCCAAGACAACGCAGGAGTGGCTTCGGGACAAGTCTCTGAATGTCCTTGAGTGGCCCGGCCAGAGCCCGGACTTGAACCTGATCGAACATCTCTGGAGAGACCTGAAAATAGCTGTGCAGCGACGTTCCCCATCCAACCTGACAGAGCTTGAGAGGATCTGCAGAGAAGAATGGGAGAAACTCCCCAAATACAGGTGTGCCAAGCTTGTAGCGTCATACCCAAGACGCTTTGAGGCTGTAATCGCTGCCAAAGGTGATTCAACAAAGTACTGAGTAAAGGGTCTGAATACTTATGTAAATGTGATATTTCAGTTTTTTACTTAGAATACATTTGCTAAAGTTTCTAAAAACCTGTTTTTGCTTTGTCATTATGGGGTATTGTGTGTAGATTGATGAGGGGGAAAACGATTTTAATCCATTTTAGAATAAGACTGTAACATAACAAAATGTGGAAAAAGTCAAGGGGTCTGAATACTTTCCGAACGCTGTTACACCATCTCCGTACCTTCAGTTAGGAAGCAGCTATATCCTCTGTTGCAGCCTGGCGGCGTTGATCAGAGGCCAGGTCCTGACCACGGACGGGACTCCCCTGGTGGGGGTCAACGTGACGTTCGTCAAGTACCCTCACTATGGCTTCACCCTGACTCGACAGGACGGCACGTAAGTAACCATGACAACAGATCTTTAGATGTATGATTTATGTCCCTTAGGCCCCCCCATGACTTTGAGTGAATGGATGAACGGTGAGGATCAAAGTATTTATAACCCCCCTGTCCTCTGTTTTTCTTCCTCTCTAGATTTGACCTGGTGGCCAATGGGGGTGTGTCTCTGGCCCTGCGCTTCGAGCGAGCTCCGTTCCTGAGCCAGGAGCGCACAGTGTGGCTACCCTGGAACCGGTTCTATGCCATGGACACGCTAGTGCTGAAGACGGAGGAGAATACCATCCCAGCCTGTGACCTCAGCGGTTACGTCCACCCTGACCCCGTGGTGGTGGCCTCGCCCCTCTCCTCCTTCTACAGCTCCCACCCTGCAGAAAGGCACATCATCCCTGAGACTCAGGTGCATACACAGCACTCTCTCTCTCTCTCTCTCTCTAGCTCCCTCTCTCTCTCTCTCGCTCTCGCTCTCGCTCTCGCTCTCGCTCTCTCGCTGTCGCTCTCGCTCTCGCTCTCTCGCTCTCTCTCTCTCTCTCGCTCTCGCTCTCGCTCTCGCTCTCGCTCTCTCTCTAGCTCTCTTTCTCTGTTTCTCTCTCTCTAGCTCTCTCTCTCTCTCTCTCTCTCTCTCTCTAGCTCTCTCTCTCTCTCTCTCTCTCTCTCTCTAGCTCTCTTTCTCTGTTTCTCTCTCTCTAGCTCTCTCTCTCTCTCTCTAGCTCTCTTTCTCTCTCTCTCTCTCTCTCTCTCTCTCTCTCTAGCTCTCTCTCTCTCTCTCTCTTGCTCTCTCGCTCTCTCTCTCTCGCTCTCTCGCTCTCTCTCTCTAGCTCTCTTTCTCTCTCTCTCTCTCCGTCTATCTTTCTCTCACACTTCCTTGTCTCTTCTCTCTCTCACGTCTCTCTCTTCCTCTCCCTCTTTCTTTCACTGACTCCCTCTCTCCCTGCTCCTCCTAGGTGGTTCATGAGCAGCTGGAGATCCCGGGCACAGGTCTGAAGCTGTGCTACCTGAGCTCTCGTGCCCCGGGGTACCGCGCCCTGCTGAAGGTGACCATGACCCAGGCGATGGTACCCCTGTCCCTGGCCAAGGTGCACCTGATGGTGGCCGTGGAGGGGCATCTCTTCCAGAAGTGGTTCCACGCCTCTCCTAACCTGGCCTACACCTACATCTGGGACAAGACAGATGCCTACAGGCAGAGGGTCTATGGTCTGACCCAGGCATCTGGTGAGTAGCAGCGTGAGATGTTTGGTCCGTTATATCAGATGTATCTATCCAGACACAGTACAATGTCATCTGTTACCACAACATTGTGTTGTGACTTTCTGACAATCTCTCACTCAGCTAATCAAACAAAAGTCCTTCACTACATTAGCACACGTTTAATTAAGTTGACACCTACACAGTAACATACTGTGTGATACTGTGTAGGTGTGAACAGTTGTCTACCTCGGGGCCCCGTGCATTCACACATACAGCATGTGATCACGCTTCATTCTGTGCACACACACACGTCTCATTAAATCTCACTCGCCTGATTAACATTCTTATTGAAGCAAACTGAACCTGATGCGCTTGTCCACGTGACCGGCGAAGAGTACATTTTAAAAGCATTCAATGACTGTATGTGCCATGCAATGTGATTTTAAATTCTGTGTTACTTATGAGGTGATGCTAAAGTTTGGATGGAGAATAAAGTGGCATTCTCCTCTGTTCTTCTACAGTGTCAGTGGGGTTTGAGTATGAGACGTGTCCCAGTCAGATCCTATGGGAGAAGAGGACAGCGGTGCTGCAGGGATATGAGCTGCTGCCCTCCAACCTAGGGGGCTGGTCCCTGGACAAACACCACACCCTCAACATTGCCAGTGGTACGACCTACAGCATTTTGTTTTAATATTTTGTGGGTTTGATTTATTTGATTGCGATAGGACAGTGAAGAGGAGACAGGAAAGGCAGGAGAGATTGCGAGTCGGAAGGGCAGTGGGTCAGATTTGAACCCATGCCAACAAGCCTAGGGCGGCAGGTAGCTTAGTGGTTAAGAGCGTTGTACCAGTAACCGAAAGGTCGCTGGTTCTAATCCCCGAGCCGACTAGGTGAAAAATCTGTTGATGTGCCCTTGAGCAAGGCACTTAACACTCTGGATAAGAGCGTCTGCTAAAAATGTAAAAACATTTAAAAAATAGGCTGTTGGTGTTCACTGGGGTCTGCTGCATTAACCACTTCCACCATACAGACCTACAGCCTTTAGAACAGGACTAACTTCACTCACACCAGGACAGATGGGCTACTACCACAGTCGGATCATTCACACGTGTTCTTGTTTAGTGTTGCGAAATGTTAAAAAAGGTGTGGCTACATGGTCACTGAAACCGGACAGCTTCTTTGAGTACATCCAAGAAGCCCTGTCTTCTCTCATCTGTATATCAGTGCAGTGCCACTGGGGTATCTCCTCCTACAACACTGCCCTCTGTGTTTTGACAGCATTACACGTGTCCTGAATACCAATGGAATGTTCCTGTGTGCGGGCAATGACAGACAGGGGACAAGCAGTCGACGTGTAGGTCCCCTGTAGCTCAGTTGGTGGAGCGTGGCGCTTGCAACGCCAGGGTTGTGGGTTCGTTTCCCACGGGGGGGGGGGGGGGGGGGGGGCAGTATGAAAATGTATGCACTCACTTAACTGTAAGTCGCTCTGGATAAGAGCGTCTGCTAAATGACTAAAATGTAAAATGTAAGCAAGGGGGTCAATAAGATGATAAACACTAATCTTTTGTATTAGATTTATTAGGATCCCCATTAGCCGATGCCAATGACGACAGCTAGTCTTACTGGGGTCTGACACAAAATGAAAAATACATTACAGACAAAAGACTTTACAATTTACATCCATTTAAAAACATGAGTGTGTGTGTGTGTGTGTGTGTGTGTGTGTGTGTGTGTGTGTGTGTGTGTGTGTGTGTGTGTGTGTGTGTGTGTGTGTGTGTGTGTGTGTGTGTGTGTGTGTGTGTGTGTGTGTGTGTGTGTGTGTGTGTGTGTGTGTGTGTGGACCAGAAGTCTCCACCAGGAATAGTAAACGAACAGAAATTTGGCCAACTGGCGACATTTTGTTAGTCCCCATGAGGTCAAATGCTATTTCTAGGGGGTTTAGGGTTAAGGTAAGAATTCATGTTAGGGTTAGAATTAGGTTTAGTGTTAGGGTTAGGAGCTAGGGTTAGTTTTAGGGTTAGGAGCTAGGGTTAGGTTTATGGTTAGGGTTAGGAGCTAGGGTTAGGGTTAAGGTTAGGTGTTAGGGTACGGGTTAGGGTTAGGGAAAATAGGATTTTGAATGGGACTGAATTGTGTTTCCCCACAAGGTTAGTTACACATACAGTGCCATCAGACAGTATTCACACCCCTTGACTTTTTCCACATTTTGTTGTTACAAAGTGGGATTAAAATGGATGTAGTTGTCATTTTTGGTCAACGATCTACACAAAGTACTCTGTAATGTCAAAGTGGAAGAAAAATTCTAACACTTATTTTTATTTTTTAATATGAAAAATAAAACACTAATGTATCTTGATTAGATAAGTATTCACCCCCCTGAGACAATACATGTTAGAAACAATTTCCTTCAGGCTCAGATTAAAAATATGACATATACATATACATACCATCCTCAGTAGCTTTCCATCTAAGTTGTCAATGCCAGGAGGTTTGTCATTATTGACCGATAACAATAACTTTTCCACCTCTCCCACACTAACTTTACAAAATTCTAACTTACAGTGCTTTTTTTTATTATTATTAGTTTTTATTATGCATGAATACGATGGCTCACTGTTCGTTGTTGGCATTTCCTGTCTTAAGTTTTCCCACTTTGCCAATGAAGTAATCATTAAAAGAATTGGCAACGTGATGAATAAGCCATCTGATTGGATGAAAGATGAAGTTGAATTTGTCTTTCTGCCCATAATTTCATTTAACGTATTCCAACGTTTTTTTTCCATTATTCTTTATATAATTGATCTTGGCTTCATAATACAGTTTCTTCTTTTTGTTGAGTTTAGTCACATAATTTCTCAATTTGCAGTAAATCAGCCAGTCAGATGTGCAGCCAGACTTATCAGCCACTATATATATATATATATATATATATATATATATATATATATATATATATATATATATATATACTACTCTGACTCTCACCCCCTCACATTCACTTTGTTTCTATAGCAACAGATTGAACAGGATTGGATTACAGATTTAATTACTTTGTTTTATTTTTGGATACCCAGGGAATTGAAAGTCTTAAAATGATAAGTAAGTTAATATTAAGATGGAGGCTGATTAAAAAGTGTCTCTGGTTCTTTGTTCCCGAGCTGTATTCTTGGCGTGGCTGTGAAGTTTAGGATCTAAAAGGATATTGTTTTGAATCGGAATGCCTCTACTGTTTCAGGGATCTTACATAAGGGCAGTGGAGAGAACGTGTTTGTGTCGGAGCAGCAGCCTCCAGTCATCAACAGCATCATGGGTAATGGGCGCAGGCGCAGTATCTCCTGTCCCAGCTGCAGTGGTCTGGCCGAGGGCAACAAGCTGCTGGCCCCCATGGCGCTGGCCTGTGGGGGGGACGGCAGCCTGTATGTGGGAGACCTCAACTTCATCCGCCGGGTCTACCCCACCCTCAACACCACGGCCGTGCTGGAGCTCAGGTAGGGTATCAATGTACAGAGGGTATCAGTGGGGGAGGGTATCAGTGTGGGAGGGTATCAGTGGGGGAGGGGTTAAGTAGGATGATGGGATGATGGGCAGAAACTAACAAGGTTGTTTTTCTTTCTTTTGTTTTTCAGAAATAAAGACTTGAGGCATGGGTAAGTTATGCGTCCTCCAACAGCTTGGTGACATTGTCTGACATACAGCTGTAGCAGAAGTGATAGTTATCTTCCTGTATGTTGGTACGCTTATTGAATGTATTCCCAATCTCTGTTTTAGTCCTTTGAGGGATTAGCTGTCACACCTCTTGAAATAGATTTTTGTTGCTGCGGGTTATTATTGTTATTTTATCTTATAATTTCTCCGTAGGAACAACCCAACACACAAGTACTACCTAGCGGTGGACCCAATGTCTGGGGCGGTCTTTCTCTCAGACACCAACTCTCGGCAGATATACCGCGTGCGCTCGCTGACCAGCGGGCGGCAGTTGTTGGACAATGCCCAGGTGGTGGCTGGGACCGGCGAGCAGTGTGTCCCCTTCGACGAGGCTCGCTGTGGGGACGGGGGCAAGGCCGTGGAGGCCGCACTCATGAACCCCAGGGGTGAGTACATTTACATTTACATCATTTAGCAGACGCTCTTATCCAGAGCGACTTACAAATTGGTGCATTCAATTTATGATAGCAAGTGGGACAACCACTTTTTTTCTTATTTTTTTTTATGGGGGGGTGGGGGTGGGGGGATAGAAGGATTACTTTATACTATTCCAGGTATTCCTTAAAGACGTAGGGTTTCAAGTGTCTCCGGAAGGTGGTGAGTGACTCCGCTGTCCTGGCGTCGTGGGGGAGTACCAGGGGCAGGGGCTATCAACCCTGACTGGGGAGGTGACAGTGACTTGTTACTGAGTACTGATGCAGGGCAGGGTGGCTGTGCTCCACGCGTTCACTATAAAATCCATTCCGCTCATCAGTGGCGGCTCCTGAAAAAATTCTCAGGGGGGGCAATTTTTCTGATGATTTAGGTGACCTACACACATTTTAAAAAAGATATGTCCAGCAACAACATGAAGACAGGGGCAGCATATAAGTCAATACCAGAAGCATTTATTGACTGATCTCAAAAGTGTTGGCTTACCAGGGTTGGTGGAGCCCTCAGTTTCATCTTTGCCTCGCAAAGCTAACTCAAACACTCCGCAAAACTTCACACACTGGATTAGCCGGCTGAGGATGTGGCGGTTCTTGCTAATGTCGTAGTAAATATATTTGTTATAGTGAATATGGAATATGATATGTTGAGTAAAATGTTGTGCTAAGATCTATTTAGGTCAGGAGCTGGTTATAAGTTATGTTCCTATCCAATAACAATGGACAAAAGGGTCCTATCTTGTCAGCCTTGTCAGTTTCAGTTCTCCAGTAAACTTGTGATTATCAACACTAACCTCATCGTTGTGGCGGCGGACAGCTAGCCTGTATCCCTCATCCAGTTGAGTGGGAATGTTCACTCTCCCCAAAGCAGACAATCTCAAACAGCTATCCATGTGGGTCTTTGACAGCTCATGTTTCTTAATCTTTCCTGAAAGATGGTGCATGTTCGTTACACACCAGTCGCTGTCCAAGCGGTGCTGTCTGCCGTGCCGCCTTCAGGGTGAAAGAGTAAGCAGGGGGTAGCAGAAGACTGCATTAGCTACATCGCAGCCTGCTAGCCAGGTTTTTCGTTCGTACCAATTTTTGGAAAATCCTCGGGTGTAGGACTTCCCCCCTTTAGTAGAAACCTGTTGAATTATTAAATTTGGTCTGGGAGGTCCTAATTATTTCGTTGCCAATTTATCTTCATTTGTTCGCCGACAAAAAGGAACTTCTTTCAAAGAGACAATCGAGTTGCACTGAACGCTATAGCAATCTTACCAGTAGTACGTGAATTGATTGACGCTGCTACCCGCTCTTTTCTTAGTTACGTTCATGGTTACGTTACGTATGACGAAAGCGCGTAAGTGCAAGCCCTCAGAAACCCATAGAGATTGTATTGAAAGCTCTGATATTTGAAAAAAATAGATTTTACATGGGAGTCTATGACAGACTTCTGGGCGATTTTCAACCTGACTGAAATCGCCCCAAAAGGGGGGGGTGGCATTTGAAGCACGACTTTAGCCTGATTGGACATTTAGTGGCACTGTGGCAGATCAGACGTCTAGATTACAACACTGATAACTACTGTTGCCGTGATATAATTGATTAGAAAAAAAATCCCTTCCTTTTCCCGTTTGGCAGTGCGTCGCCCATATCGCCCTATTGAACATACCGCCCCTGCCGCTCATCTAATTTCCTTAAGGATTAGAATTGTTATAGCTGACTGTCACTTTTACACAGCCTTGTAGGAAGCACTCATATTTTGGGATTTTACACAGGTTCACCTGCTGTTCATTTGGGGTGTTTAGCTGTCACTCAATATCACAGGAGGTGGGTGGCAGCTTAATTGGGGAGGACAGGCTCGTGGTAATGGCTGGAGCGGAATCAGTGGAATGGTATCAAATACATGATACACATGGTTTCCATGGTTTCCATGTGTTTGACGCCATTCCATCAGTTCCGTTCCAGCCATTATTATGAGCCGTCCTCCCCTCAGCAGCCTCCACTGCTCAATATCTATCTAGTGATAGGCTATCCTCGGGAAGCGGGGTATGTAAATGACAGTGATTTGTTCAGAGCAGTGACCTGGAAAAGAGATGGCGGCTCTTCTTGACACCAAACCGCCAGGCGGAGTGTTGCACTGTCACTTGGTGTCACAGGAGAGATGACACGTTAAAACACCGACATCCTGATGTCAGTATGATGTTACAACAGAATGCTTGATGAGCCCAACCTTGACTTTGTTTTGACTGTTTGTGTTAGCAGCACCAGAACTCGTTTTCACATGTCAAAAGGGTTATGATTTCTAACTCCGCCCTTTCTTATTTCTTTCTGTCTGTCAGGGATCGCTGTGGATAAGAACGGCCTCATGTACTTTGTTGACGCCACCATGATCCGCAAGGTGGACCAGAACGGCATCATCTCCACCCTGATCAAGACCAATGACCTCACAGCGGTCCGTCCACTCAGCTGTGACTCCAGCATGGACGTCAGTCAGGTCAGGAGGGAACTCTATGTTTTATATCTTAATGTTTTGGACTTATAGGCCCTTTGGGACTTATAGGCCCTTTGGGACTTATAGGCCCTTTGGGACTTATAGGCCCTTTGGGACTTATAGGCCCTTTGGGGGGGGGGGGGGTCCAGTGGATTTGTGACGACTCATGTGTTCTGTGTCTGTTGATCTAGGTGCGTCTGGAATGGCCCACTGACCTGGCGGTGAACCCCACAGACAACTCCCTGTATGTTCTGGAGAACAATGTGATCATGCGCATCACTGAGAACCACCAGGTCAGCATCGTCGCTGGGAGGCCCATGCACTGCCAGGTCCCAGGCATCGACTACTCCCTGAGCAAGCTGGCCATCCACTCGGCTCTGGAGAGCGCCACGGCCATCGCCATCTCCCACAGCGGTGTGCTCTACATCGCCGAGACGGACGAGAAGAAGATCAACCGCGTGCGGCAGGTCAGCGCCTCCGGAGAGATCTCTCTGCTGGCCGGCGCCACCGCTGAGTGTGACTGCAAGAACGACATCAACTGTCAATGCTTCTTTGGCGACGAGGGCTACGCCACGGACGCCGGGCTTAACGCCCCCTCCTCGCTTGCCGTGTCTCCCGATGGCACGCTGTTTATCGCTGACCTAAACAACATCCGTGTGCGGGCAGTGAGGCGCAACAGGCCCGTGGCCACGCCCGTGGGGCTTTACGAGGTGGGGTCACCACGGGAACAGGAGCTCTATGTGTTCAGTAGAGATGGGCTCCACAGACAGACAGTCAGTCTGATCACCGGAGAACCCCTCTATAACTTCACCTACGGGCCAGACGGGGAGCTGGCTGTTGTGGCTGATAACTGTAACAACACCCTGAGGGTGAGGAGGGACGGATCTGGCCAGCTGAGGCTGGTGCTGCTGCCTGAGAACCAGGTGGTCACCATGGGGTTGGACCCTGCCGGCGGCCTGCGCTCCGTATCTGCCCTCAACCAGGAGGTGGCGCTGATGAGCTATGCTGCGAACACAGGCCTTCTGGCCTCCAAGGCCGATGAGACTGGATGGACCAACTTTTATGAGTATGTGTGAATTGACTTGTATAATATGTGTAATGCGACTGGGTAAATTAACCATTCGGTGATATAACTCACATGTTCATGTGGGCTGAGAGAATAAGTGTTCGCCATTTTTTGGCGTGGAAATAATGCGAGAGAGAGAGAGTGTGTATGGTTTACAGGATGGTCATGTGACTGTCGCCATCTGGTGTCTGACCCTGGTATTACACTGAATACATTTACATTTTACATTTACATTTTTTTGTCATTTAGCAGACACTCTTATCCAGAGCGACTTACAGTTAGTGAGTGCATACATTATTTTTTTATTTTTTTCATACTGGCCCCCCGTGGGAATCGAACCCACAACCCTGGCGTTGCAAACGCCATGCTCTACATCCCTGCCGGCCATTCCCTCCCCTACCCTGGACAACGCTGGGCCAATTGTGCGCCGCCCCATGGGTCTCCCGGTCGCGGCCGGCTACGACAGAGCCTGGATTCGAATACATTACATTACATTACAATACATTACATTACATTACATTACAATACATTACATTACATGGGGTGGAAGGTAGCTTAGTGGGTAAGAGCGTTGTGCCAGTAACCGAAAGGTCGCTGGTTCTAATCCCCGAGCCGACTAGGTGAATAATCTGTCGATGTGCCCTTAAGCAAGGCACTTAACCCTAATTGCTCATGTAAGTCGCTCTGGATAAGAGCGTCTGCTAAATGACAAAAAAAAACAAAAAAAACATTACATTACAGGACATCTGTTGGTCTCACATTTGATTAAACAATCAAGCTTTATTTTCCAGCACATGTAGGATTTTTCCTCCATGGCCCCGTTGGCTCAGCTCCGTCCTATTCTCCCCATACAGGTATGACAGTGAGGGACGTCTGACTAACGTCACCTACCCCACGGGAGTGGTGACCAGCCTGCACCGGGAGATGGAGCAGTCCATCAACGTCGACATGGAGAGCTCCAACAGAGACGGTGACGTCACCGTCATCACCAACCTGTCCTCTGTGGAAGCGTCCTACACCGTGGTGCAAGGTAACTGACATGTCACCTAAAAGGATGATTTCTCATAAAAAATATATTATACGAATTGGAATTTCATCATATTGCTGCCCAACAAGACGGCCCCTGATCCCAGAGGTTATTTCAGCCGTTTAGCAGGGAGGGTGGAAGAGCAAGAGGGAGAATGGATTTCCCCACTGACTCGCGGAGGAGGTCTGACAGAAAATAAATGCAATTTCATCTGTACGTCTGGAAACTACTGGAGTCATGAGAATAAGAATTTAAGAGATTTATATGAAAGTCTGCCCTGGTGGGGGGCTCGTAAAAGAGGGAAAAGTGACTTGGCTACCTTAAACTGCACAATTTATTTCAATCTAATGTGGGAGTTCTGACTGAAATGGCCTCTACAAAGTAAATATGTCTTTAAAGGCTCACAAACTTTACTTCTCCTGTTTCAAGGAGATAATTGAGTTTGAAAGACGTTAAAAGCTGGTTTTGAGTACTCTTGTCTTGTTAGACGTGTTCAAGAAGTTTCCTCGGGTTAAACTCCATGGATTATTTTGCTTCCAGATACCTTTTCTCCTCAGATGTAGTCCATGATCTCGTTACTGCATGTAAATTGAATAAAAGGCTCATGTTCTGCATTTTGCTGAGAGACTAAAAACCTCTTTATCTTTGGTCATGTCATTCTGAGAGAGGATACTTGTTATTGTCTGGGAGGAAAGTACACAGATCCAGGGAACGCATTTCCTCAATCAGATCAAATGGAATGTCTTCTCTGTAATAAAACGTGCCTTCAGTTTCTCACTTCTCATATAACTGTGTGTGTGTGTGTGTGTGTGTGTGTGTGTGTGTGTGTGTGTGTGTGTGTGTGTGTGTGCTGCTCCCCCCTGCAGACCAAGTACGGAACAACTACCAGTTCTGTTACAATGGCACTCTCCGGGTATCGTATGCCAACGGCATGGGCCTCAGCTTCCACACAGAGCCCCACATCCTAGCCGGCTCGGTCAGCCCTACCATTGGTCGGCGCAACATCACTCTGCCCACCGACAGCGGGCTGAATTCTATCGAGTGGAGGATGAGGAAGGAAGTAATCAAAAGCAAAGTGACCGTCTATGGCAGGAAGCTGAGGGTAAGCTGGAGTGCTCAGTTTCTAATGTCAGTCCATTTCTGGAGGTTTTTTAATCAATGCAGCTTGTTGTCTGTCAGACTAAAGACCCTCTCTGTATGGTAGCATGTGTCACTGAGAAGGAAAATAGAGCTACAATATACACTTTAGAGAGTAATATTGTTGAATTTAAATATATATATATATATATATATGACTTGTACACAGCCAGCTCTGTACTAGCTTTGCTAGTTGGCAAAGGAGAGGATATTGAGTTTTTCAGTTTTTAGAAACAATATTTTAAAGCATAGGGTGTCTTCCTCTCATACCTCATGTACCTGTGACTAATGTGATATCCTTCCTCACTTTGCACAGGCCCACGGCAGGAACCTCCTCTCCATCGACTTTGACCGCAACACTCGCACAGAGAAGATCTATGACGACCACCGTAAGTTCACGCTGAGGATCATGTACGACCAGCAGGGCCGTCCAGCCACCTGGCTTCCCAGCAGCAGCCTGGCTGTGGTCAACGTGTCCTACTCCCCCACCGGACGCCTGGTGGGCCTGCAGAGAGGCAGCATGAGCCAGAGGAGCGAGTTTGACACCTTCGGACGCATCCTCTCACGCACCTTTGTGGACGGGAAGGTGTGGAGCTTCAGCTATCTGGACAAGGTGAGGCATTCTGATACACTACTGGGTGTGTGTGGGTGTGTGTGTGTGTGTGTGTGTGTGTGTGTGTTGTGTGTGTCTCTGTATGTCTGTGTGTCTCTGTGTGTACTGTTAGTTGCCTGGGAACAGAGTGTCAAGACAGTTTTCCACTCTTGCCTGTTCCTGAGTTTTGTTGTTAAAGTTTTTCACGGTGTCTGTTGTTGTGGATGTCCAGACCACAGTACAGAATAAAAGGCTAAATGTATTGTATTTTCCATCTCCCTCCCCAGTCCATGGTTCTGCTCCTCCAGAGTCAGAAGCAGTATGTGTTTGAGTTTGACACCTCAGGGCGTCTCACCTCTGTCACCATGCCCAGCATGGCCAGACACACCATGTCCACCCACGTGTCCGTCGGCTACATCCGCAACATCTACAACCCTCCCGAGAGCAACGCCACCGTCATCCACGACTTCAGCGAGGACGGACGACCACGTGCCACCTTCTACCTGGGCACGGGCCGACACGTCATGTACAAGTACGGCAAGCTGGCCAAGCTGTCTGAGGTTCTGTACGACGGCACGGCCGTTACGTTCGGCTACGACGAGACGACCGGAGTATTGAAGATGGTCAACCTGCAGAGCGGCGGGTTCTCCTGCACAATCCGTTACCGTAAAATAGGCCCCCTGGTGGACAGACAGATGTACCGCTTCTCTGAGGAGGGCATGGTCAACGCCCGCTTCGACTACACCTACCACGACAACAGCTTCCGCGTGGCCAGCATCAAGCCTGTGATCGGCGAGACGCCCCTGCCCCTGGACCTCTACCGCTACGATGACATCTCAGGCAAGGTGGAGCACTTTGGCAAGTTTGGCATTATATACTATGACATCAACCAGATTATCACCACGGCAGTGATGACCCTCAGCAAGCACTTTGACGCCCACGGCCGCATCAAAGAGGTGCAGTACGAGATCTTCCGCTCGCTCATGTACTGGATGACGGTACAGTATGACAGCATGGGCCGGGTCATCAAGAGAGAGCTGAAGATCGGGCCGTATGCTAACACAACACAGTACCGCTATGAGTACGACGGGGACGGACAGCTTGTCGGGGTCAAAGTCAACGACTGGTCCACCTGGCGCTACAGCTACGACCTGAACGGCAACCTGCACCTGCTGAACCCTGGGAACAGCGCCCGCCTGCTGCCGCTGCGCTACGACCTGCGAGACCGCATCACCCGCCTGGGCGACATGCAGTACCGCGTGGACGAGGACGGCGTCCTGAGCCAGCGCGGCGCCGACGTGTTCGACTACAACTCCAACGGGCTGCTGGAGCAGGCGTACAGCCGCACGCCCAGGGGGTGGAGCGTCCGTTACCGCTACGATGGTCTGGGCCGCCGCGTCTCCAGGAAGACCAACGAGGGAGAGCACCTGCAGTTCTTCTACGCTGACCTCAACTACCCCGGCAGGATCACCCACGTTTACAACCACTCTGGAGGGGAGATCACCTCCTTCTACTACGACCTGCAGGGCCATCTGTTTGCCATGGAGGTGAGCGGCGGGGAGGATTACTATGTCGCCTCGGACAACACGGGCACGCCGCTCGCCGTCTTCAGCAGCAACGGACAGATGGTCAAGCAGCTCCAGTACACTGCCTACGGGGAGGTGTACCACGACTCCAACCCTGACTTCAACATGGTGGTGGGCTTCCACGGGGGGCTCTACGACCCACTCACCAACCTGGTGCACTTTGCCCAGAGGGACTACGATGTGGTGGCAGGCAGATGGACTGCACCAGACCATAAACTCCTACCTAAAATCGGCAAGGAACCAGCCCCGTTCAATCTGTACATGTTTAAGAACAACAACCCACTCAGTGACATGATTGACATCAAGAGCTATGTGACAGGTAACGATGATTGCGTTTTGTTTTCCTGTTCTGAAAAAAAAATATCCATCAAGTAAGCTAATTATGTTGTGACATCTTGCCGTGTTTAAATGAATGTAAATCTATTTTGCAGACGTGAAGAGCTGGCTGGTGATGTTTGGTTTCCAGCTCAGTAACATCATACCAGGTTTCCCCAGACACTCCATGTATTTTGTTGATCCGCCTTATGAACTACTGGCAAGCCAGGACTCTGAGACTGTTCCGGTGAGTTGTTTATAAAACACATATTTGAGCTAATGATAACTAAGACTACACAGGCCAATCTCAATGTAATTGATGTTCATCATTTAAATAAAACAATCACTTGTCCGGCTGACCCTCTGCTGTTTCCAGCTGATAACAGGGGTGCAGCATGCAGCAGAACGCCACAACCAGGCCTTCATGGCCCTGGAGGGGAGGTTGCTCAACAAGGAGCGCCGGGCCAAACGGGACAAGCCTGGCTACTGGTTCGGCACCAAGATCCCCATCGTGGGCCAGGGCATGATGCTGGCCATCAAGGAGGGCCATGTGGTGACTGGTGTATCAGGCCTGGCCAGCGAGGACAGCCGCAAAGTGGCCCAGGTCCTGAACAACGCCGTCTATCTGGAGGGAACCCACTACACCATAGACGGGAAGGACTGCCACTTCTTTGTAAAGCTGGGCCTTGCTGACAGTGACCTGCTGTCTCTGGGGCTGAGCAGTGGGAGGAAAGCCCTGGAGAACGGCGTCAACGTGACTGTGAGTGGACGCTCTCGCCGGGGTGTCACCGTGGAGATCCACACGGTGGCGTTGTCCCTGAGCGTACGTTATGGCCTGGCGGCTGACGTGCTGGAGAAGGAGAGGGGTCGCCTGCTGGAGCAAGCCCACCAGAGGGCCCTGTCGGGGGCCTGGATGAGAGAGCAGCAGCGCCTGAGAGAGAACAGAGAGGGAGGGAGGCTGTGGGCAGAGGGAGAGAGGCAGCAGCTCCTGGCAACAGGGAAGGTGCCAGGTTACGATGGGTACTATGTGCTGCCTGTGGAGCAGTACCCAGAACTGGCAGACAGCAGCAGCAACATCCAGTTCCTGAGACAGAACGAGATGGGCAGGAGGTAACAGAGCACAGCACAGCCCCGCCCCTTTGACACTACATCTCCTAGGGAGAGTAAAAATGGGGTTTCCCTCGCAATGCTGCAGGAGCATCTAAGAGGACACAATCTCACAAAACAGATGTCTTGCTGAATGTAAAAACAGCGCCTGAATTAGTTCAGACAATGATTTAGAAAAGCACCCTTAACTACTAATGATATGAACTCTACTTACTTTTTTAAGAGGGGGAAAAAAATGGATTTTGAAAAAACGAGAATCTTTTTACATTTTTTTTGGAGGGATTGGTATTGATGCCAATGAGGAAAAAGTTAACTGCTTTCCAACGTCTTATCAGACGTACCCTACACAGCACTGACAATGACAACCCAGTCAAGGCTTTTCTTTCTAATGGCTAAACAACTCTTGAACTGTCTCAGACCACTGTCTGGGGAACATAGAGCCATCGCTTGCCAATACAGTCATAACCATGAGCAATGTTTAAGGACGCTCAGTTGTTCTTCATTCAAAGTACATAGTAATATATGTTTTAATTTAACAAAGACAGAGATTGAGGATGTAACATGTATGTAGATTTGTATGTTCCTGTGCAGTATACTTTTTCTTGCTCTTTTTGTCTGCACTAAATGACAATCATGATGAATTTGTATCGAGGACAACATGCATAAAAGTCTTCTTTTCTTTTTGTAAAATATGAAAGTATTCTCAATGTTTATTTATTTAAATTTGCAGCCCAAGACAACATGTTACAGACAAATATATGGTGTATGTCGGATTTTCATATTGTTTACTGTCAAACCTGTTGCCCTCACATTACCAAGATAAATGTGTACATTCATTCAGCAACACAGATCCAACCTGAAAGCGGTCTAATTTGTACATTTCTCAAAATAAGTGACTTTAGTATTGTTCTGTCTACAGTGGCTTGCGAAAGTATTCACCCCCCTTGGTATTTTTCCTATTTTGTTGCCTTACAACCTGGAATTAAAATTGATTTTTTTGGGGGGGTTGTATCATTTGATTTACGCAACATGCCTATCACTTTGAAGATTCAAAATATTTTTTATTGTGAAACAAACAAGAAATCAGACAAAAAAATCGGAAAACTTGAGCGTGCATAACTATTCACCCCCCCAAAGTCAATACTTTGTAGAGCCACCCTTTGCAGCAATTACAGCTACAAGTCTCTTGGGGTATGTCTCTATAAGCTTGGCACATCTAGCCACTGGGATTTTTGCCCATTCTTCAAGGCAAAACTGCTCCAGCTCCTTCAAGTTGGATGGGTTCCGCTGGTGTACAGCAATCTTTAAGTCATACCACAGATTCTCAATTGGATTGAGGTCTGGGCTTTGACTAGGCCATTCCAATACATTTAAATGTTTCCCCTTAAACCACTTGAGTGTTGCTTTAGCAGTATGCTTAGGGTCATTGTCCTGCTGGAAGGTGAACCTCCATCCCAGCCTCAAATCTCTGGAAGACTGAAACAGGTTTCCCTCAAGAATTTCCCTGTATTTATCGCCACCCATTATTCCTTCAATTCTGACCAGTTTCCCAGTCCCTGCCGATGCAAAACATCCCCACAGCATGATGCTGCCATCACCATGCTTCACTGTGGGGATGGTGTTCTCGGAGTGATGAGAGGTGTTGGGTTTGCACCAGACATAGCGTTTTCCTTGATGGCCAAAAAGCTCAATTTTAGTCTCATCTGACCAGAGTACCTTCTCCCATATGTTTGGGGAGTCTCCTACATGCCTTTTGGCGAACACCAAACATGTTTGCTTATTTTTTTCTTTAAGCAATGGCTTTTTTCTGGCCACTCTTCCATAAAGCCCAGCTCTGTGGAGTGTACGGCTTAAAGTGGTCCTATGGACAGATACTCCAATCTCCGATGTGTAGCTTTGCAGCTCCTTCAGGGTTATCTTTGGTCTCTTTGTTGCCTCTCTGATTAATGCCCTCCTTGCCTGGTGAGTTTTGGTGGGCGGCCCTCTCTTAGCTGGTTTGTTGTGGTGCCATATTCTTTCAATTTTTTAATAATGGATTTAATGGTGCTCCGTGGGATGTTCAAAGTTCTGGATATTTTTTTATAACCCAACCCTGATCTGTACTTCACCACAACTTTGTCCCTGACCTGTTTGGAGAGTTCCTTGGTCTTCATGGTGCCGCTTGCTTGGTGGTGCCCCTTGCTTAGTGGTGTTGCAGACTCTGGGGCCTTTCAGAACAGGTGTATATATACTGAGATCATGTGACAGATCATGTGACACTTAGATTGCACACAGGTGGACTTTCTTTAACTAATTATGTGACTTCTGAAGGTAATTGGTTGCACCAGATCTTATTTAGGGGCTTCATAGGAAAAGGGGGTGAATACATATGCACGTACCACTTTTCCGTTATGTATTTTCTATAATTTTTTGAAACAAGTAATTTTTTTCATTTCACTTCACCAATTTGGACTATATTGTGTATTTCTATTACATGAAATTCCAAATAAAAATCAATTTAAATGACAAGTTGTAATGCAACGAAATAGGAAAAACGCCAAGGGGGATGAATACTTTTGCAAGGCGCTGTACATACTGATCTTATTACATTTGATTGGCCAACCTCAAACCTCCCCTTTTAACACTGGGGCTTTTAATTCATTTTTTTTTTACCTAGTGGCATCTCTGTAACCACCCATATCTGTAAAAAAAGTATATTTTCACTGTGAATAACCACAGTATGGATGTCAATATGTACATGAATAGGTGTCATGAAACATTCTTTACACTAGGGTGAGGATTATGTGGGAAGTTAATCAGAATAAACTTGTTTTTTCATGTTGCATGGAATGTTTTTTTTTCCCCTCTTTCAGCAAGGAGCTGTGGATCAATGTGCTTCCCTGAGGGCAGTGGAAGACTAGCTACCCTTATCTTCCATTCAGCACTTACACTATCATTAGCACTTACACACTTCATTAACCTAAACTTTTAAAATTGCGAATAAATCAAAGCAATTCAGTCTGTCAAATGCTGAGTGGCAGGTAAAATTGGCTTCCTTTGTACTGCTCAGGTAAATTAAGATTAAAAGCGGGTATTGTATTATTCAAATTCAGATCGTTGGAGGCAAACCACTTCCTGTCAGCTGCAGTGGCTCCCAGGTTATTTTTACAGTTTTAATTAGCGCCTGCCAGAAGCATCTTCGAACCCTGACCTTGCCGTATAAAGACTGGCTGGAGTACCGCAGTGAGGTCGAGAACGGTCCGACTCCGAGCTAACAAGCATCTGTAATCATTGACATCCACATTTGCATATTGGACTGAACCCCTCCATGACAGTAGAATAATCTATAGAACATTGCTCAGTAGTCCAGACTGTTCTGGACAAGTTGCACCTCTGCAGCTATTTTCACACATGCAGATCAAACCCACTGCTCCCAGTCTAAAGCGCAATCAGTGGCGGTCGGTGCCATTTAAGATGAGGGAGGACGATTCTTTTTTTTTTTTATGAGCATGGCCTTATTTCTATTACAGCATATTGGATGTCTGTCATTCATATTCCATTCACCCAGTTCAATGTAACATCGATAGGTTTAGGCTACTACATGATACTCAATTTTCCCTATACCCATCATGAGGTTGCTACAAACTAGCCTATGAATGAAGGTTTACAATGTAGGTGCACACACATTCAATACCGCCTTGCACACTCTTGCCTGCATCTAGCTGATCTAGGGTGTAATCATTAGTCCAGTAGTTGCAAACAAGAGTTTCTATTGGACAAATTCAGGCATGTTTATCCCCGTTTCATTCCATTTGCTTCCATTTAGGAAACATTTTTCAACAGAATCGGCGGAATGAATACACCCCTGATCACACGCAAACAGTTCACTTTCATAGCCACATACAAACAGCTCGTTGTATTCCTTCTCGCGTCTACGCGCTCTCCTCCTCTCTCCTCCTCTCTCCTCTCACCTCTTCTCACCTTTTCCCTTCGCTTGTGGAATTCAATGCAGAACCCATCAGCTGTTTGTGACCAGGCGAAAAAACCTTTCCAAGCCAAACCATATCATAACCGCTATACACACCTACATCGTTGTCAACATATTAGCTAAAGTAACGTCATAGTCAACATAGCTAATAGAACTAACATGTTAGTAAACCTGCTACAATCATGCAGTACGGCGTACATTCAGTAAGCAGTTTAGCAGTTACACCGGTGGGCCCCGGTGGCAATACGTTTGTAAAACCAAATGCTTACCTTGACTTAGAAGAGTTCCAGTGTTGGATAGTCATAGCCAGCTAGCTAACATAGCATCTCTCTGTTTGAGCCGGGTCTTTGAGTAGGCTAAACTAGCTAGCTGCATTTGCAAGCTAAGTAAGTGAAAGTGAAAAAAAATGACGAAATATAGCTTTCTCTATCTCTCTCTCCTCTCTCTCTCTCTCTCTCTCTCTCTCTCTTCTCTCTCTTCTCTCTCTCTCTCTCTCTCTCTCTCCTCTCTTCTCTCTCTTCTCTCTCTCTCTCGCTCCTCCTTCATTTTTCAAGAAATTAATTTGTTCAGAACTGTTCATCTATTGTCTTTCTCTCTCTTTGAGTCAACTACTCACCACATTTGATGCAGTGCTAGCTAGCTGTAGCTTATGCTTTCAGTACTAGATTCATTCTCTGTTCCTTTGATTGGGTGGACAACATGTCAGATCATGCTGCAAGAGCTCTGATACGTTGGAAGATGTCAAAATTACTGTGTAAGTCTATGGAAGGGGGTGAGAACCATGAGCCTCCTAGGTTTTGTATTGAAGTCAATGTACCCGGAGGAGGACGGAAGCTAGCTGTCCTCCAGCTACACCATGGTGCTACCCTACAGAGTGCTGTTGAGGCTACTGTAGACCTTCATTGCAAAACAGTGTGTTTTAATCCATTATTTGGTGACGTTAATATATTTTGTATAGTTTTATCTAAAAAGGATAACTTCTTAAATGTTTCACTATTTTTATTTTTATGAAATTCACTGAGGAGGATGGTCCT